TGTACATACCATGTCACCCCAGCCAATTTTCATCTTTGATCTTTTTATTTCTCACCAACCAAAACTTATTTTGGGGTTGGCACTCCAAGAGATGTGATCTCATATCCCCCACTCTCCTTTTCCCAGATTGTTTGCCCAATTTTCTTGGATTGACAAGTGTTTTTTTTTGGCCTTGAATTGGTGATGACAAAATTAATCAATAAACCCCCTGGTGATCTAGTGCTCATTGCCTCTTGCCACAAAAATTCAATCAAACCTCAACTCTTTCGTGAATTCAAGTTGAAAAATATCAGAAAATTCATTTCGCCTCAATGCCTGTCAAGTTGCTATGGGTACCTCCATGACTTACTTTTCTTTTATGTAAATTTTCATTGAAGGGGGGATTTGTTTCATAACTCATGGATGTAAATTGTAGGTATATCTGTTTGATATCACTTGAAACTTTCTCTCCGTTTCCAAATGGAGTAAATACGGCACAAGTTTCATCACTAGTATCACCAACCTGTGCAAACACGACTGCACAGCCCATTTAACGCTTGCTGATTATGTCGATAGAGGCTCAAGTTGAATAGCTCATACACGTACATAAATGCATACAGCCCTCAAAGGAACAGCGACAGCTTCTCAAGGCCTCCCAAAATTCCCCTGGTGAGAAGGGCGAGTGTGCCGAAGATTTCGACTTCTGATTGAAAGCATCGTGCTGATTTGCGGATCAGTGCCCCTTGAGTGCGGATCCCGGATTCAGGGAGATGCCTGGGAGGTATTTTGTTTGTTGCGAATCTCACTGCAGCCTTGCCAAGAAGGGTCGCTGGTGGCGTCTTGATGGGTGCCGGCTCAACCAATTAAGTCAATGCTATTACTCAGCTACACGCGGCACGGTGCTAAGGTACCGCCAGCGATGTGCGACCCGCGACCACTGCAAAGGTCCAATCCCTCCGGTCATGTCCCAGCCAATCGGAGAGGTCCTCCTCAACAGCCTAACACTGCGTAGCGCGGGCGGGGACAGGGGGACAGAAGGACAATGGACACCGATTGGCGGTATGAAACGATTCCTATGAGTCTGGGAGGCTGTACAAAATCGCTGTTTTCAGTTTTTGAGGGGCTACGTTCCCAGTCACTAGAACAGTCAAAAACTATTCCGACACATACCTGGTTGCTTCGTGGTTGTCAACCAACCAGTGACAAAGCAATTGACCATCAAGTTGGAGGTCTACATGCCAACCGAGAGTCAATCAGTCTTCCCTTTCATGCGAGGTACCCTTCATTAAACATGTCCTGCCTCTCCTCAGCGCAACACGTCACACCTATCTTTGTTTCCCTCATCCAAAACCCGTGAGGGAGACTGAGTTGAGGCTCAGCTACTGGTGAGTGCAGTGGCCTCGGCGGTAGTCTGGTGAGACGTTTAATCCACAGTATCTGAGTCATTCTACGGCTTCACTCTTACTTGTCACGCCTTCCCAGAGGTTTAGTCATGGGGATCCCCAATCCTCTCCATAGCTAGCCGTACCTTCTCTAATAGCCCTGGTTTCCATCAACTCATCACTTGTTTCACTTTCAGTCCCCCCGCCCTAACTTGTTTCCGAGAAAGAGTGGCACTTGAGGCTGGCTTATCTCGCGGCATTGCCTTCATCAAGATTTCCCAAAAGGTCACCTCCGGCACTCAGCCGTCATCACCTCACCACCGGCCCACCTTGGGTGAGCTGTAATTTCTATCATTCTCCTAGGCAGATCCACCATAACACGTTCCGACCACCCTTACAGACCGCCCAGGAGCCCCCAGATACCCCTTTGCCTCATAATCTTCTTCCACCTACCTAAACCAAAGTCTTCAGTGACATCCGCAGTCCTGAGGCAGACATCAAAGCCATAAATCTCATCAACTAAGCCCACTCGATCACCCCCATCCCGTGTGGGGCCGCCCTTCGTTTACACAGACGCTCTTATTTATCCGAGTTTCCAGCAAGCGTCGTTGTCATCAGTCATTCACTCTCTAAAACCCCAATTTACATGAACTGTGGTAGCAACGATCCTCTTGGACCCGCCAGCGCCGCTCTCCCCTATTCTTGATCGTTTTCTCCTTTCAGTCGGCTTCAATCCAGAATCTTAGTCGATATTATGAGTTTGGGCACTGGAGCTGGGATTCCTACGACAGCAGACGAGTGGGCAACTATTCAAGAAAAAATTGAGTTACACGCCCGCTCACCCTACAGCATCAAAGATAAGCGCGTGCTATGGTGTCAAGGTATAATAGTCCTTTTGAGTGGTGTGCTGTATTTAATCAGTCTCTTGCGTCGAGCCACTCTCAACGGTATTTGGTGCTTCAAGAAGGACGTCGAGGGATACTGGCATCCTAATGTTCATGTTGCAATTCCCATCGTAACCATTGCCCACGCCGCTGGTAGGTTTACTGCGACCCAGAACATACATATGCCATCATCACGTTTCCCTAAGCTGATTCCCCCTTTTTCCTTTTTCCCGTTTGTTCCTCCATTTTTAGTCCAAACAGCTGGCATTGGTTTAATTGTGATCGCTGATGCTCCGGAAGACAAGGTGCCCACCATCGTAGCTTTGAATCTTACTGCATGTAGTATGCTATACTATGCTGGATGGACAAAAGGTGAGAACCCCTCAAATAGCCTTAAAGCCAACCGCTGGCACAACGGCATTTTTTTTTTCTGTCTTGTTCTATCTTTGCTGAATCCCCTCTGTTGTCTGAAAATCTTCAGTATGGGCAGTCCTCTACGCCCTACCATCCTCCATCTTTCGGTTGCGCCGAAGAGATGTCCTTGGCTCCACAGCAATGATCACCAAACGTCGCATTCTTTCTCCCAACATTTTCAATAGATTCATTCTGGCAGGATATTTAGTCGGCATGCTCCCCATACCGTGGCTCACATTTACGGTCTATTGGGTACAGAAGATATTAGATCGATTACAAAATTTCCGAATTACAGCTCAACACTTAATTATCAATCTGTCCATCAACGAAACCCCAGGTACCAGCTTGCTCATGGCATTGAGAGCGGCATCTGAGATCAAAAACTTACGAAAAGCTCAAGAGAAGGCTTTACAAAACCTTCGAATTTTCTCTGGCGTGTGGCTTGCCATCTCAGTTGCCGCACTCTTCATTTTCCTCGGCGGTTCTTTTGCCCTCCTGCTCGCATTGACTGGACAAATTGAGATATTGACGAAAATCCAAAAGCAGCGTGAGCTGTTGATTAGTGGCAATCGGTCTGATTTTCCGACGAAGTCCTCACAGGCAGCGAAAAATATACAGACCCATGGGGAAGAAGGCAAACTTTCCCGCCCTGGTTTCCTATCTCGCCTCAAAACTTGGATACCAACCCTAGGTGATGATGATGATGATGATGACCTTTTGGGAATGCCACCAACGACCACACCACCTTCATATCACATATCGAGAGCCGACGAGCTAGTGAAAGGCTCAGCTCGGATGTCATACCTCTACGACAATGCCAATCAGGTAAATCATGCCTCCCGTAAAAATCACAAGCAGTTAGTCAGTTATTGCGTCCGGTTTGCATGGCAAGCTGTGTTCTGCACCGTGATAGCAACTTCCTATATTGTCCTCAACATTTTTGTTGGTAAGCCTACCCTCTATCACACCTTTGATCATTACCAAGATAAGAAAACTTCATGGCGGAATGTTTGAACCCTTTTTTACAATCCCGTGCAACAGTTTTCAATGTACTGGATGCGCCCCGATCGATTACTCTGAGCCAGCTTCTTCGTACTATCGAGCAATGGGCAGCATGGTCTTGGGGCGGTGGCCCCGGCGCAGTCTTAGGGTTCCTTGCTTGCATCGTCGCCTTTTCCAAAAACCCGGTCCTCCCACAAGAGCCGGAAAAGGGCCCACCCGCTGCTGATCAAGATGATATCGACGAAGACGACGATCACGACACTCGGTCTCGTCAACATGCCCTCACGGCAGAAAAGCTTCACATGCACGGCACCCGAGATATTGTGGCTTTTCCTGTCTCGCCTAAACGACCAGACGCAGCTCTCACTGATCCGAGTGGCTTAGGAAGCTGGAAAGGGATTCGCCCAAAGATGAGCTTTGGATCGAACTCCCAAATTTCGCTCTCTGCGCCCAGTCGCAACCAGGAGACCTCGTCAGAAACCAGCGCAAAATTCAGTCGGACGCAATCGCCTTTTCAGATTCTGAGTCTCACAAATTCAAATTTCGTGAGGTTGAAGCCGGCCAAACCATATCCACTGGCCCATCTGACAAAGTCAGGCTCCCACTACCAGCCATCTCACCTGTTCACATCCAACCCACAGGAATGCGCCACAGGATCACCACTTGCAGATACATCGTCCCCACATTCCCCGAAACCCTTCCAAATCCGAACGCAGCGTAGTTACCCCATGCCAGTCCAAGTTCCCCGATCACAATCTGGCGATTACGATCATTTTCCCCGAAGTCCGGGAGCTCAACGGATCGATATCGAAAGCTCGGCTAGCCGAGGTCACTTTGATGCTATCCATCAGCTCAGGCAGCGACAATGAGTCTAGAAATCCAAGCCATGGTAGCATGTAGCTCCCAATCAAAACGCCGTACGCACCAAACAGAAGCAGATGTCGATTCAAAAGTAATGTTTACAAAAGAAGTGTCATCAGGTTAATCCTCTCAACATTCATATGAAAAAATCCTCAAGGCTTAAGTTCAGCGTAAGATATTAGCAGAACTCATCCGGAAAAATATGCAAAACTTAAAAATAATCTTGCAAGCTGCGATTTTTCATCTCTTTTAGCATTTCCATCATGATAAACCAGAGAGCTTGCCATTATCACGACTTAGGGATTTTTACCAAGTTACTCCGTTTTTGCATAACACACAGATTTTCCTCTGTCAGCATTTTCAACTTCAATATGTACAGATAGTCCGTAATTATCAATTATTTTATCTTGGTTAAACTGGTGCGTTTGAAAATGTTTGTTATCTATGTACGTTTGTATTTTGAGCAAGCTTTGAATTTCTGTGTTATATAAGCTTGTGTCATCCAGTTCAACATTTTGATCTCATTTTTGAAAGCCAATCACTCATCATTCTAAAAAAGCAAACCTTGGAGAAAAAGATGTCATCCTGAAACCATGAAACATACCAATGTACATACAGGTGAGAGCTCCACCTGTTGAGTCAGAGCAACTCTGCCACAGGTGGTAAACCCCAATCATCACCTCAAGACCCACAACACCCTGCAACTGCAGGTGCTATGCAGGGTGGTAATCAACATGTTGGTTCCAAAAAGATGTATTAAGGTTGTAGGTCTGGCAACTATTCACCACCCCTGGTAACAATCTTGGATTTGTGAAACCACACCTCCAATTCAGCTCTCATCTCAGGTGTTAAATTTGCACCACTGTTTTCAACCCCAGGAAATAGCCACCCGGATTGACTAACTTTGGTGGACTGGCTCTTAATTCACTACACCTTCATCCAAAAATAACACTTTCCAATTCTACGTGAGACCTCACATAGTCAAGAGATTTTAAGAAAAACATCATGCCAGCAATGCCACTGATGGTGTTACAATACATTTGGTGACCATGATTGATAACATGGCGACAGTGTAAATTATTGGGTTTTTCCATACTTCTAACTGCCATAACCAGTGTTGGACACATGATATTCAATTTCAGTAACAGAAAGGCCATGATGAACATTAATATAATAAATATCTCACCCCTGTAGTGTTCTGTATTCAATTGTGTTGCTATTGAAAATGGTTGTGTTTTTTATTCTACAATGGACAACTTCCCATTGGATCTGTGGCCCTCCCAGTTTTTGATTTAGGCCCAAACATTCTGGATTTTTGTAGGGAAATCTAGCTTTTGAGACTCTAAATCAAAACTTGGGGACCTGTAGATTTTGACAGCCTAGGAAATAATCCAATGATACCCATTTTTTTTTCAAAGATAACATATGATAAAATATACAATGTTGAATCAATCTTGTAAATTCAAGTATGGGCCCAGTTTTGATTCAACTGATTGAATCTGATCTGAAAATCAACTATCCATCTGGTTTGTCCTGGTTGAGCAACACACCAAAACTGTCAATTCATGATTTCAATTGGATTAGCAATACACAGATGCCTCATATTCTGCACAATCACAAGCACTCACTCAGATTTCACTACCCTCTCAAAAGCACATTTACCATTTTGAACAATCTTCTTTGCCCATTCAATTTTGCACTAGCCAAATCTGTTGTGCAAATGTAATGCTTCAGGTCAGCTCAATTAGCTCATGTAGTGCTCCCCCAGATTAAAATCACTCACTATTGTCTATTCAAGGAGGTTCTCCCCCTGACCCTCATTTGTGCACAATGTTTTCTCTGCAGACTTCCTGCATTCATTTTGCCCCATACCAAAATATCACCACTCATTTCATAATGTCATGATCAGCTTCATTTTTTGGTTTCAGGGGTTTATACATTAGAAGAAATACTCCCATACCTTCAAAGAAAGAACAATGATTGGTGAATCTATGCACCTGCATCATAAAAAGAATCACATGAGGGGGAATTTTTTTTCCTTGTCTTTTCCCCTTTTACCTTTCAAGCTCTCTTGTCATGGATTGACTCTGTTTTTATGCTTTTATGGCCCAATGAGGGATCAGTCATGGATATGGGTGAGACTTTTTCCTTAGAGAACCATCACTGTTTTCTGATTTTTCTGGATTTAATTCATTTCAAAATGAAACTCAACCACACCAGCAACACTGAAACAGATACGGTATCTGCCATGTGAAGAAACTTGATTTTATTGCACAGAAACAGAAACCAGAACTGAAGAATAAAACAAGAAATCAGATTAGAGAATGAGAAAGAAGTACGAATGAAAGCAGAGGAAGAAATAGAAAGCATACCGCTATTCAATGTAGATAGTGAAAGAGGATGACTATCCAAGAGATGATGAGGATTTTAGCAGCGGCAGAAGACTATCAGAAAAGAATGAAGACAATAGTGAAGTGAGAAAATGAGTTAGTTCTTTTGACAACAAACAACAGGAAGAGAAAAATAACAGAAGAGAAAAAACAAACAGAAGTTTTACAGAAGTATTTGAGTTAGGACGCAGATGAGGGAAGTTATGAGATCGAGATACTCAGTCTAAAAAAGAGAGAAGAAAAGAAACAGGAAAAGAAGAAAGGTCAGGGAGCGGATCGTCTAGGATTGATTATCGATGTTTGTTTACTTTACGAGTGTAGTCCCGGAAGTATTGGTGATCGATAATTATCGAGTCGTTGAGCAGTTGTTTTGAGTTGAACCGGATTCCTTCTAGGTTGGTTGAGGAAAGAAAGATGACTAAGTTCATCGACTGCTTCTTTAAGGATGGCAACAACCCTAAGTGGTTCTAAGTTTCCTTAAGTCCGCAGTCAACTTAATTTATCACTAGTGTGCGCGCGGAGCATTGAGATTGCGCACGAGTCTGCATTGAGGCAAAAACTCAACACCATGTATCTGCCATGTATCACTATGTATCTGAGCCCCAATAAAAAAAAACTATCTGACTGATCTGCTTTTATTTGCAAGGAGATTCAACATATTTGGTTTTCGGCCATGCAGCTTTGCAGAATTCTCCATGATACACACAGTGTATTGTATCTGTTGCACTGTTGACACCAGTTCAATTCAAAACTGATCTCAAGTTGATTTTATTTACTTTTTGGCTAACCCTTGCTCTAATTGCAAGTGGTTTATTGATGAGCTAAACCCTAAAGATCTACATAAAGCCAAAAAACATCTTCAAACCCTCACCGACTTTTATTATATTTCCCATACAGAGCTCTACATTCAAACAACAGAAATTTTTCCCCGCTTCAATTCCACCCAAGCAAGGTGAAGAATGCCTCCCACAAGAAGAACAACTTATAAGAGGCTGGTTCAACTTCCACAGACCAAAAAAGGAAGATTTTTGGCAAAAAGTTAATAGCAATTATAATGGGCCTTAATAAAAAAACCCGCATTTTCCGCGTTTTGACGCGGTTTCTGCTGCGCGCAGCACACGCGCATTCCGCGTTTAAACCCGCTTTTTTAATTAATTTTTTTTTGCTGTTAATTTTAATTTTTTTTAATTTTTTAAAATTGTTTCCTACACTAAAAAACGTGTAGAATTTAATGGTAAAGTCCATTTTGCATAAAAATGACTTTTGATTCTTAATTTTTTTTTCCACTCATTTTTTCCGTTAATTGTTTGCTTTAAGTTTTTACCTCATTTTTCAAGATTTTGTGTAACTTTAAAGTTGTTTCCTACATAATTAAGTGTGTAGAAATTTATGGTGAAATCCAATTTTCATAAAAATGAATGGATCATTTTTAATAATGCAATTACACCCATTTTTTCACTTAAATTTTTAGAGCTCAATTATCATTCTTTTTTCACATTTCAAAATTTTTTCCTACACTTTCAGACATGTATAAATTTATGGCAAAAATTATTGTGCATCAAAGTGAGAACTACATCTTGTATACTGCATTTGACACCGTTTTCTTTTATTTAATTCTTCACTTTTTCACTCAATTGTTTGCATTAATTTTTTTACATTATTTTTTCTGCTTTTTTGAAATTTGAAAGTTGTTTCCTACATTTCAAAGTGTTTAGAATTCACTGGTAACATTCAATTTCCATAAAACTCAACGGTTCATTCTGAATACTGTAATCAGCCTTAAAATTCAATTGATTTTTAAGAGCTTAATTTTCATGCTTTTTTGACATTTTAAATTCATTTCCCACACTTTGAGACATGTTAAAAATGATGGTAAAAATAATTTTGCATCAAAATAAAATCTGTATCTTGAATAATGCCTTTGACGTGTTTCCTTAATTAATTCTTACACACTTAATTATCCTTATTTTTTGGAATTTCAAGTTCATTTCCTACACTTTGAAAGGTTTTAAAATTGTTGGCTGTATCCATTTTGCATTCACATAAAATTTGTATACGGGACAAATTATGCAAGAAACGGCGTAAACTCATGTATTAAGATTGAAGCTTGTATTTTTAGGGAAATTGGACTTCACCATTCAATTCCACACATTTTTAAATGTAGCAAATAAATTTAAAATTTCAAAAAATGATTAAAAACCAGCCGGTAAAAAGCAATTAACAAAACATTAAAAAAAACATGTCCAACGCAGTATTCAATAACATTCTTTGGTTTTTATGCAAAATGATTGTTACCATCATTTTAATCATGTCTAAAAGTGTGGGAAACAAATTTAAAAAGTCAAAAAAGAATGAAAATTAAGCTGTAAAAATTTAAGTGAAAAACGTGTCTAATTTCAGTATTCAAAGTGAAGAGTTGAGTTTTAGAAAATTTGAATTGCGCCATTAAATTCTGCATGTTTTAAAACCTAGGAAATAATTTTAAAATCTCAAAAAAACATAAAAAATAAAGTACATACATGCATGCAAACAATTAATTGAAAAATGAGTGGAAAAAAAAATTAAGAATCAAAAGTCATTTTTATGCAAAATGAACTTTACCATTAAATTCTACACGTTTTTTAGTGTAGGAAACAATTTTAAAAAATTAAAAAAAATTAAAATTAACAGCAAAAAAAAATTAATTAAAAAAGCGGGTTTAAACGCGGAATGCGCGTGTGCTGCGCGCAGCAGAAACCGCGTCAAAACGCGGAAAATGCGGGTTTTTCTATTAAGGCCCATTATAATCATGACACAACTGGTTTTGAAATAAGTTTATCCAGTTTCATATATTGGTCTGTTTGTATCTTTTGGTAAACTATTTCCTGTTGTTAGATGCTAGCAGAAATTGTAAAACAGATACAATCACAATACAATTATTATTCTCCCTTTCAGTGATTGCCATGTTATCTTGCCTTATTTCTTCATGTTACAGTCATGCTAAGTCTTAGTCTGATAAAATCAAAATCTAAGATCTTTGAGTTCTTTCAAAATTGACCTTGAAATTTGTGGAAGAACAGATTATCTGGCTCTTCTCTAACCAATAACCTCCCCAATTCAGCAAGATCAAGAAGGCCAGGAGTTTACTAATCCCAAGCTCAAAGAAATTTCAGAAACCTGAACTTTCCAAGGTTAAGGGAATCATATCTTCAGGGCTTCAAGGACAAGCATTTAATGTCAAACATCCCCAGTATACTTGTAGAATACCCAAACCCATATGTATATTGTTTCCTTTGAATAATCTGAGAAAAGAGAAAAATGACTGAAGAAAGAGAGAAAAATACAGACATACCTGATGGCAACAGAGTTGGAAAGGATGAGGAAGGAGGAATCATTTCCTGCTCTGTTCACTCCAGTATAAGAGCTACATAAAACATGAAGAATTTCACAGACCATGACATTTAAGAAATGAAACCAGGAAGAAGCACCTGACAATTGTAGCTATGGTAATGAAAAGAAAACAATGACATAGATATCTTGACATATTTTTTCAAAATGCTTCCTGGATGGTCACTGATGAATTTGTGCCCCTACATGCACCCCTTTTTTAGGAGTATGCAGCTAGCATTCCCTTCAAGAAGGAAGTGCACACATCCTCTGCTACTGAGAGGTAACTCATGGAATTTTTTATTCCTTGAGATATACTAAAAATCTTCCAAAATTCAACCCAAGTTTTGGCAATTTAATGGTAGGCCTGGCTTGGATAAATCAGAGCTCATGTCTGGAATGATTAGCAAGGCCCACTCCTGCCTGTGAATATTGATTCAACCCTGATGATCATGAAATATAACTGGAACCTTTCCCACCTTTTGGATTCTTTATCTTTATATCTAGGCTGTATGGACTATTTGAATTGGGTTTTCCAGAGGAACCTGTTCAATTTATGACCATCTGGCCATTTATTCAACTCTAAATTACTTCTAAACATTCTACCTGCTTCAATTTCACTTGATTTTCTGCCACTGGTTTCAATTCTTACATCAATGGAAACTTTGGTCAAAGTTCCCTCATCACAGCCTGTATTATATGGCTCTGATTCTTTCAGGTGAGATGCAGTCTTGATATCAATCCTAGAAGTATGAAAGTAAATCTATGTAAATCTATTTAATCAGATGCCAATATTTTCCCTATAACACAGTAAACCAACCAAAAAATGAATTCTACCAAGAATTTGCTACCAAATCCAAGAAAATTTCTGTGGATGTTGGGCAGAAAAAATGTATGTACAAGTGAAAGTTCAATTTTTTTTAATCTTATGTGATTTGATTTAAATGGACCATGAAGTAAAAATGTGCCTATTTTTGGCCTTCAGAAAAGTAATATTCTTTTGGGGAAGGAATAAGCATGCACGGCCACATGCTTCCTCGAGAGAAATTTAGACATCAGATTCCACAGACATCTGCACGGGCTAAAACCATGGCCATCAAAGTGACCGATTCAACCTATTTCGCAGGGAAGGGCGATGAAATACATAAGCGGCCACTTAAATTGTGTGAGATATTTTATTCGCTTTGATGTGATCATGTATGCGTACCTGAGCGGCACTAGCGGCACAAGATAGGGTGAAAGCATGCGCTCCGTTCGGTCCAGGTTTCAACCAGGATTCCCAGCGGGTTTGATCTAGTTTTTTGCATATTGCAAGGCTTTGAGCTCTTCTTTTACTACAAGATAATTAGGAATGATTCTCACTTTCTAGCATGCACATCTGAACTTCCTCCCCACCTTTCCTAGCTTCGTACAGCTTGCCTAGAATAGTGAAAAAATTAGTAGCATTTCAAAAACAATACAGCTGATTGGGACTTAGAGGGACCCTGCTAGACATACCTCCTTTGTCGAAAAAGTTTCTCTTATAGCGGTAACTGATCTCCTCACCCCATGGGGCAATGAAACTGAAAGTCCACTCATCAGATCTCATTCCTCTCGGGTCAATCTGAAAAGTGCGGTTTCTGGATCCAGGAACAGTTGGCTCGACGTAGTGCGATTTGCTAAAGCACGTATCATCTTGCTGTGAAAGAAAGAATCAATCTATGTCAAAATGAATGATTTTAAATTTTGAAAAACCAGAAGGAATCCTGACAGAGTTGAGGAATAAGAGTGGTTGAAAGCTCGAGTCTTTCACCACCGTGGATGAAATTCCCCTGCGAACGTCTCGGAAAGATTTGTCGAATAGGAAGGCCAGGGCACCATTCGGATAGTGAATCGTCAAGGCGCCTTGAGAGTAGTCCAACTTATCATTCATGATGTAAGTGTTGGTGAAAGGGGGGTGGCTTTTGCTTTTGCTCTTGCCTCGGCGGACGAGCCTTGAAGCAGAGTTTGGGGAGGTTTGATTTGCCAATGTCATGCCTAGCAAAAGGCAAATGGCTACATACATACTGGAAATCCTCATGTTAGATTAATGATGCTTTGTCAAGAAAGTATGAGCCGTTTTCGAAGCAGTGATGAAATCGACTGATATATACGTGGCCAAGGAGTGAAGTTCAGCAAAAAGGTTTTTGAAGCTCAAATGAGGTCGCCTTAAATGCACCTCTGTCTTTCTCATTTCTCCCGGCCTGGTCATTGCTTTATAGGATTGGCCAGGTCTCGCCCGTTTCTTCTTGGGTCTGACATTCCCCCAGCGATTCCTACGCTCATACTTGTTGAGAAACATCCCCGCAAAAAATTTCTCTGACTTTGATGGCATGCATTTCAAGCTGCGAATTTCTATGACGTCAAACGTTAAATGCACTTGGCTGGTTAAAGCAATGCAAGTCAGTGCTCAAGACGCAGTTTATGAGACACGCTCGGATGAGGCGGACCCAAGTATGCACAGTTTTGAGGATGTAAAGTTAGATCAAACCTAAGCCCAAGGTGACGTGCAATGGATTCACATCTTGGGGTCATTGAGCGGGTCCTGACGGAGTGCCGAACTTTCTATTGCAGTAAAACCAAGTCTCGGCGACCTCAGATTGGAGAATATCGGACGGTGGGGCAGTGCGTTCGTGACATCAATCCCATTTACACGTAATGAGTGCACCGCTTGCGGCGTGACAAGCCGAAGCAAGGTCGATCGATACATGTCCTCCAATGTTTTGTATCTAGGTTTATCAAGCTTGCCAAGATTCCGAGTACAGTATTTCTAGGGGGGTGCGAACCCTAGCTTAACACAATCCCCTCGCTCCTGAGGGCTGGGGGGACATTCGGAGGCTCGCTTCGCGAGGTGCCCGTGGCACGCTGGGGTCCCCCCCAGCCCCCAGAAGCGAGGGGATTGTGTTAAGCTAGGTGCGAACCCGGGAGGGACCCGCCAAAGGAGGAACTTCTTCATGCCTGAAACTGAAACTCTTCCCTTTTACTTCTTTATGTTATAGCCCTTCTAGCTTTCAGATATCCAGGCATCACTTGTGAGTGGAATGATGTGCTAGCATTTCTTGTGTCTTGTGCTAATCTCACATTTCCAACAGTATGTACAACAGATGGAATTTTTAATGTCATTCAATAGGGGGGGGGGTTCATGAGTGGTGTTTGTGAGCATCATCTTATCAATTTTTTAAATTTTTCAGATTTAGTGGTTTCTGAACTTTCTGAACATCCCAAAAAAGATTTTTTGATCAGAAACACCTTAAAGATGGCTCTAAATTAAACTCAATTGCGAACCCCCCTAATTAATTCAAAACTCAGTGAACTTATGGTTTTAATACCCTATACATGTGCTTTATTAAAAATTTGGAGGCTCACTTTTCTCCCTATAAGTTCTTATCTGAAATTGATTGAGGGGTTGATGAAAATACAAAGCCAAATCAGAAAAACTCCTCAGGAATTGGGACATAAGCTGTAACTTCCTCCCTCCAGTTTGTACAATGACACCAGTGTTTCAACACTCCAAGAGCAGGAGGATGTGACTCAAAAGTAAAAAGCAAGCACAGTGAATAGCTGGTTTATCTTGGAAGATTCAGTTCTTATGGCATTTATATTGAAAATTTCATGAATTCAAGTTCTGATTTAATGAACCCCACAAAATACTTGCACATTTCAATTAGTGTATCAGCCACCAGTGTTATTTCTACTGAGACTTGAATGTGGTGCTCAAAATTGTTGACATGGTTTTAATTTACCAGCATAGTGGGACATTTATGGTGCAGCAGCCCCTTGGATAGGCCTTGCTTATTGTCAGGGTCTTATTTAAACGGCTCCCAAGAGTTGGAGTTCCAACTCCCAAATCTTCAGGACATCTGCAGACGGTCCTCAGGATGTCTGGCCCTCTATTTTTTCCGCCCAGTTTACGGTTTTTCTCCTTCCAGCCAAAAAAAAAAATAACCCATCTCCTGCGGTCATTTTTCCCAAATCAAAATTCCTGGCTCCCAACAGCGGTGGGCCGCTACGCTACGCTACACTTTTGGCCCAAAAAGCGTAGCGTAGCGGCGCTTTTTTTTCATCCAAAAGCGGTAGTGTTAGCGTTTTTTCGCTACGCTACGCTGCGCTACAGCGCTTTTAGCGGAAAAAGCGGCCAAAAACCGCTAAAAAGCGCTGTAGCGCAGCGTAGTGGCCCTTTTTTGCGGCCCACACGCGTAGCGTTAGCGGTGTCGTGGCGGAATCCCGCTACGCTACGCTAAAGTTGCGTGGAATTCCGCTACGTTACGCTGCGCTAACCGCTACGGTTAGCGTAGCTGGCCCAGCGTTGCTCCCAATCTCAAAAAGCCAAACCATTCAAATACCTTTCATGGTCATCAAAAGGTGTGTTTTCCTACCTCACATTGAATTACCAGTCATCACTATCAGTACACACCACTCATGAACTTGATCATTGAGAGAACTAGTGCTACACACTTGTAAAAACTGCTTTTGATGATGAGACCAACTGATCACAACAATGGACCAGCTAGGCTAACCATAGCATTAGTACGGTGGACCTGGACCGACACCAGTTGTGCCACGAAAAACGAAAACCAAATACAGGGCATCTGACCGTTTCGGAAAATGTAAACAAAGTACAGACTGCAGTACCGAAGTACTGCAGTCGGTATTCCTGCGATCTTCCGTTCAGCTGAACGGGTGTCCCCCGACCCCAACGAGGCCCAGGGTCACATTGTGCAGAGGAACTGGGCCTGGCCCGGCCTGGGGCCGTTTGCTTTTTTATTTATTTATGTTCCTCAGACCGATCTGTTTGACATGTATTCCGCTCAAGCGATGCGAGGTTTTGGGAGGAGGCCAGCTGGCACTGCCATATCCAAAGAAAGCGAGCCTCTAGGGGCCTGGCCGCGAGGCTGGGCAAAGACCACGAGCCGTCGAGCCACATGCAGTGATGATGTGAGGGCAGGAGTCTGTATCCAGCTCCTCTCCTTTCGCGCGCGAAAGAATCCCAGAAAGGGGTCACCGCGAGCCATGCGTGTGTCTTGTTGCCATCGGACTGGACTCAGGCTTTCACTGAGCCAGTCACTTATGTATCACCGGAATGGGCTGGGCTCCCCCCACCTGACAGTCGATCTGTGTAGGTAGACCAAGCTGTCAAATGACAAACACATTGAGCAGGCCACCTCAAGCCTTGGTGACCCAGTCCAGCCACTCAAGGCCCAAGGGCACACTTTTGGGCCAGTGAGAGGGTTAGTTCCCAAATTGAAAGGTGGTCTGGGCCCAGCCATTCTGGGTCATCTTTGGCATGAATGAGGGGAAGGAAGCCCCAATGTACATGCATCAGCCAGACTGGCCACAGCTACATTGGCCTGGCCCCAGCGGCCACCAGCCTGGTTGAGATTCCAACTGAGCAAGGTTGTCATGAATTGGCCCTAGGCCAGTCACAATATGATTCATTGGGTGACAAATTGGCCATTGCAGAGCCAACAGTTATCCCAATTCTTATAAAAGGGGGCCCTCCATGGGGCATATCCCCTCCTCAAATCTTTATCACCTCCCCCATTGCCCACTCATCACTCTTCTAAAAATACATCCCCCAGCACCTCATCTAATCCTCCCCCCAATCTAGCTTGCAATGCCTCTTTGTGACCAATGTAAAAAATGGACACAAGGAGAGCTCTTACGTGGGATCTGTGAGCCATGTGTCATAGGCTTTCTGAACCGCCCCTCTCAATCAACCTCATCAGCCGGTCCCTCTACTCATGTACCACCCACCCAACCAATCCTCACAAACCCATTCACTGCAATCTCCAGACAACCAAAGGCGTTCCTGCCATCTCATCAGCCTATTTCAAAGAATCCAATTCGTGCTTCCCTATTCCTCTCCAAATCATCCCCAAGCCCCCTCCATGCTGGCGCCAATGCTTATTCCCGTCACCTTGCCAAAGAGGCACAAATGGGCAAGTCGAAGGACCCCAGCAAACCACCGGCCAAAAAGACAATCGAGTCTTCACTCTTTCTGTACCAAGATGGAACTCTGTGGGAGAAGAAAGGCCTCTTCTGTTGCAAACAAACAGCCGTCCTGACAGATCCTTCCCTCTATGAGAACCTTTGCTACCAACTCTGGGAAGTTTTTTCCGAAGAAATCATTAAACAAACCGAGATCAAATCACTCCCATACTTCCCCAGGGATTCTCTCTCACTCTGCCAGGGAATATCAAGAATCCCCTCGCAAACAGTCCTCCAAAACATCACCCAAGAGACCACCAGCCGAAAAAAACTGGTGATAGACCTGATGTACCACCACTCAGATTCTTCAGATCCCCAACCACCACTCACCTCTTCAAAAATCCGCACAGCTTCCAAGTCTTCCAAAAGAGTCCTCACATCCGAATCTCCACCACCAATGAAGAGAAGGAATACCCAACCAGAGGGAAGTGTTGCAAAATCCGGACAACAGCAATGGGCCCTTGGGGGGAAATTTGCTTCAAAGCCAGCCACCCAGCAGACCAATCTCACATCTCACCTAGGAAGGCTCAGTCAAAGGGTTCAAAGTTCCTCTACTGGGGGCCCATCTGCAACCTGGATTCTTGGCCAGCGATTGTGTTTCTTTACCACTCATCCTCCCCCCAACTCTGACCCTCAAAGCACCAGATTCCAGCTTTCCAATGGCATACAAGGCATCACTTTCCCCATCAACTACAAGGTCCACCTCAATCAAGTAGTTGGAAGTGGTGGAATGAGGACTGCATATGCAGCTGAGGTAAAGACAGAGGTTGCAGATGGGATTGAACATATCAATCATTGGGTAGCCAAGATCAGGTTGGATGAGGTGGAGCCATCAATTGACCAACATGCCACTGATGCATTGATGTATGAAGGATTTTCCCACCTCCTGGCTCAATTCAAGTTGGAAATCAGCCATTGTGAATACTTAAGGAGCAAGCTCAAGAACAAGGGAAGCTCCATTCAGGCAAGTGATTTTAATTTGGTATTTTTTAAACAGGCCACACATAGGATTCTTTGTTAATTTCCCTTGCTCTGTTTTCCTTCCAATTGATCAGCTGGTGCGCCATGCAGTAGTGGCCAATGGCCCAATCAACTCACCAACCAATGTCTACTTCCTGGAAGCCTTCCTGGATGGTCCTTATGTCAAATATTCTAGCAATGACAATTTCGCAGTACCCAATAATCAGCCAGGAATGGACCTAGATTTATTCAAACTCATGAATGCTTTCACACACTGGACATACAATAATTCTATGGGAAAGCACTTGGTCAGTGACCTGCAGGGGGTGGGATCAACCCTGACTGATCCCCAGATCATTGATATGGATCCACAGTAAGTGACACATTCCATTTTGATCTCACATTGTCTCAAGTATTGACTAGATGACCTTTTTCAGCTCCTGGTCTGATGGGAACACCAGTAGTGATGGGATTGCCCAATTTTTGAAGGATCATATCTGCCACCCAGGCAATGAAGTCTGTGAAGCTCTTCAGTTGGGAAAGGCAGTGGACCTGAAATGGGCTAAACCCCAGGGTTCACTGGCTGACCTTGTCAGAACCAGAAATGCAGCTTGATGGCTCCCTTGCTTCCCTGGCCTCTGGTCACCTTCTCTGATCTACCCCTGGTTTTTTTTTTCTTTGTGCATATTACAAATAGCCTGTTGTGTCTTTATTCTTCTCCCTCATTATCCTGCACCTTTTTCTTTCTTTGTATACCTTAAATCCCCTGTTATGTCTTCATTCTTATTATCTAAAATTATTTTTCATGGAATCACTTAG